GCCGCCATCATGCCTCTGCACTCCAGCCTGGTAGACAGAGCAAGACACTGTCTCAAAAAAATAATCAATAATAAACTAAAAATAAATATAATAGAATGTTGAAGAAACATGGTCAAAGTGGAAATTAGGAGTGTTTTTGCCAATGGAAAATGTCAAGAACTAATAGATCTTGTTCCAGCAGGTTTAACTAGAGAAAGAGGGGGAAAAAAAGAATAGAGTCAAAATCATTGCATAAGGTAGATGTGCTCAGATAAACCAAATGTGGGGAGGCATATGAATAGAAGAAAAAACAAACTGCAGGAGTATCAGAAGAAAATGTAAGCAATCCTGTGAAAATAGTCCTCAGAAATTCTCACAAAGGACCATACATGAGGTTGTTCATTACAGGGCTGTTTGTGGTAAGGGGAGTTGAAGGCTCCAGGGGGTCAATGCTGGGGGAAGGGATGAGGGTAGCAGTTAGAAGGAAGAAACTGAGGGTACCATGGCCATGTGGAAGGGCTGTAAAACAGTGTTGAGAGAAGACAGTCAGAATAAGGCCTATGGCACAATATCATTTACCTAAATATATATATATAAAAACATATTTTATTTATTTATATGCTTCCCATAGAAGGTATATAACATATATATATATATATATATATGTATTTATTTTTGAGATGGAGTCTCACTCTGTCACCCAGGCTGGAGTGTAGTGGCGTGATATCGGCTCACTGCAACCTTCACCTCCGGGGTTCAAGCGATTCTCCTGCCTCAGCCTCCTGAGTAGCTGGGACTACAGGCACGTGCCACCACACCCAGGTAAGTTTTGTATTTTTAGTAGAGACGGGGTTTCACCCTGTTGGCCAGGATGGTCTCCATCTCTTGACCTCATGATCTGCCCGCCTTGGCCTCTCAAAGTGCTGGGATTACAGGTATGAGCCACCGTGCCCAGCCCGAGAGCCACCATGCCTGGCCATATATTTTATAAGGAAACATGCAAATGCTGTAAAACCTATCAAATGCATTACTGTGTTGTCCATGATGTACTGGGGGGATAGGAATGGGAAATGGGATAAAAGGGAATAAACAGACAAAGAGATGTCTCATACAGACCAATGCTGACCATGCGGAATGTGAGCTGAGGAGCTAAGGAGCAGATTAACTCAACTGAGGTCCAAAATGAAAGAAAAAAAGTACAAGGAGATAGTATTATAACCTTAAAGTACGGAAGGCCTTGAACAAGGTATAAGATGCTAAATACAGCTGGGCACAGCTACTCACACCAATAATCCCAGCAGTTTGGGAGGCTGAGGAGAGAGGATCACTTGAGCTCAATTCAAGACCAGCCTGGGCGATTTATTGAGACCTCATCTTTACTGAAAAAAAAAAAAATTAGCCAGGTGTTGTGGTATACACCTGTAGTCCCAGCTACTCGGAGGCTGAGGTGGGAGGATTGCTTGAGCTGGGGAAGGCAAGACTGCAGTGAACCATGACTGCACCACTGCACTCCAGCCTGGTGAGGGAGCAAGACCTACTCTCCATTAAAAAAAAAGTAAAATAAAATGTATACATGCTAAAGTAAAAATTACAACCACTACATACATAAAAACATATCTGGCTGGGTGTAGTGGCTCATGCCTATAATCCCAGCACTTTAGGAGGCCAAGGCGGTAGGATCACTTGAGGTCAGGAATTTGAGATCAGCCTGGCCAACATGGTGAAAACCTGTCTCTACCAAAAAATTAAAAAATTAGCCAATGTTGGTGGAACCGGCCGCGCCTGTCAAATCCCAGCTGCTCAGAGGCCTGAGCAGGAGAATCGCATTTGAACCCGGGAAGGGGTGCCGGTTTGCAGTGAGGCTGAGATCAATGACACTGCACTACCAGCCCCTGGGGCGCCAAAGAGCGAGACTCTGTCCTCAAAAAAAAAAAAAAAAGGAAGACATCTATTAGGGGTGATCAACACAAAGCATTTTACGTAACAACCTAGAAAAACTGAAAACAAAATCGGTTAGTGCCGGTGTATCCATTTTCAACCATTAGAATGACTATGCAGTGTAACAAGAATGCAGTGAAGTGCATGTAACTGAGAAAGGGCGCAGAGTGCAGAGGAGGGCGTCATTCCAAGGTCACAGAAGCGTTTCTGCTTGCTAACCCTGGTCCTGGCCCTCGCCAGGGTATTGATCTATAGGATGGAACGAAAGCAAGTCAAGAATAACAAAGTGCCAGGCCGCGGTTGGCTTCACGCCTATAAATCCCAGCACTTTGGGAGCCTGGACACAGGGTAGATTAACCTGGAGGTCAAGGAAGTTCAAGGACCCAGCCTGACCAACAACTGGCAAAAAACCCTGAAAATACACAACTTCAGCGGCTGAGCCATGGGTGTGCATGCCCTGGTCACTCGCCACGCTAACCCGGCGAGCCTGAGACAGCACAAATTGCTCAAACCAAAGCGTGGCGGCCCGCCGAGGCGGCGCAGAGGTTGCCAAGCCTTTCTTTTCTGACGCCTCCCCACCCACGCCTACTGCCGCAACTCCAGCTGGGTGACAAGAAGCAAGAATTCCCCATCAAAATAAAATAAATAACCCGCGGGCCACGGTGCTCACGCCTGGTAATCCCAGGCACTTTGGGAGGCCAGAGGCGGCGGATCACGAGGTGTCAGGCAGATCGAGACCCGATCCTGGCTAACACGGTGAAAACCCCGTCTTTACGAAAAACCAAAAATTACTGGGCATGGTTAGTGGGCCACCTTAGTCCCAGCTACTCAGCGAGGCTGAGGCAGGAAATGGCGTGAACCCAGAGGGTGGAGCTTGCAATGAGCTGAGATCACGCCACTGCACTCCAGCCTGGGCGACAGAGTGAAACTCTCTCTCAAATAAAATAAAATTAAAAAGAATAAAAGTACAATACAATATAATTTGTACTATAAAAATAGCAGGGATATACCTACTATGTATCCACAGTTTTGTTTTTTTTTTAATGGCAGGGGAACACAAAAAGGAATTTATCATATGATCTGTACATTCTACACATACATCAGTGTCTAGAATGAAGTGTGCAAATTAAAATAAATAAATATATGTGTTGAAAACGAGTGTAGGGAGTATGAAAGGATTGCTACATGATTAGTTGCTCCATGGTAAGATCTTCCAGAACAGTTTTGAGCAGTGAGGCCAGTTTTTCCAAATGTCTCTGGGTTCTGAAACACTCATCTCTCCAGGGCCCTGTCCCTGGAGAAACACGCAGGCCAGAGCCTGCACTTTCCAGAGATGCCCATCGGGGGGCAGAAGCACCTATGAGCCGGCTGCCCTGGCAAACTGCCCTGTGACCTGGAATTTAGGGCTGGGCCCCGCCTGCTTCAGAGCCATTAAGGCTGCTTATTAAGTTTTTCTGCAGAGCAGCAGATTCACATATGTGCTCTTGGCTGCATATTTTCAAAATTCTGAACATGCATTTGAGTTAAAAGTAACGACCTAATTTTTTTTTTCAAAATAGAATTACCCTACTTTCTTTCTTTATGATTATAAAAGTAAAAATATACTTATTATAAAAACTTTTTTGGAAAAGTATAAAATGAGAAAAACACATTTTTATTACCTGAATAAAACACTGTAATGTATTTCTTTTTATACACAAACATTTTACTAAAAGATTTGTTCATACTATACATATCATTTTATAGCTGCTTCATTTCAACGGGATCAATAAGATCTCATGGGTAATAAGATCAAGGGCTTAATGGTAAATAAAATTTACATACATGTTATTAACCTAATTATTTCCATTAAAGCATCCTGACACTCACTGAGATGGGCCAAGACCCATGCCACTGTTTGGGCTTTAGATCTGGTTATGCTATTCTGACCAGAGGACTTGCCATTTCTGGGAACAAATCAGCAGTGAAGGGACCAAGTGCTTCCATGGATCCACACTTCTAAATGGCTGTGGAGTTTTGGCAGTCAAGGGCTTTGTGGTCTTTTATAGGTTCCCTTACACAGTGACTTTCTTTTTCTGTTCTTTTTTTTTTTTTTTTTTGAGACAGAGTCTCTCTCTTGCTCTGTCGCCCAGGCTGGAGTGCAACGGCGTGATCTTAGCTCACTGCAACATCCGTCCCCGGGTTCAAGCAAGTCTCATGCCTCAGCCTCCCTAGTATCTGGGACTACAGGCGCCAGCCACCACACCCAGACAATTTTTTGTATTTTTAGTAGAGGTGGGGTTTCACCATGTTGGCCAGGCTGGTCTCAAACTCCTGACCTCAAGTGATCCGCCCGCCTTGGCCTCCCAAAGTGCTGTGACTGCAGGCATGAGTCACTGTGCCTGGCCACACAGTCACGACTTTTTGAATAATAGATGTTATTTCAATTTATTAGATAACAGAAAATAGATGCACATCAGCTTCAAAAATCTCCCTTGGAAAAGTGACTGATTTGTCTATGTATTGTGTGGAGTGACTTACTAGAAAATGAAGTCTTTGGACTGCCAGATTTTAGTTGCTTCTCCCTTAGGGGAAGTGATTATCTCATTATAGAAATTTATAAATATAGCTCTTGCTAACTACATTGTTTGGGGAGGTTTGATTCAAAAAAGAATAAAGCAGTGGCTTCATATGCAAAGACATGTCAGATTTAAACTATCTTGCTTTCTGGCCCTGTTCTTCCAGGAGTGCCTAGAAAACTTAACCAGATAAAAAATAGTTTGGGCTGGGCGCAGTGACTCACACGTGTAATCCCAGCACTTTGGGAGGCCAAGGCGGGCATATCCCTTGAGCCCAGGAGTTCGAGCAACAAGGCAAAACCCTGTCTCTAAAAACAAATACAAAATACAAAAAAATTAGCCGGGCATGGTGGTGTGCATCTGTAGTCCCAGCTACTCAGGAGGCTGAGGTGGGAGGATCGCTTGAGCCCAGGAGGTCAAGGCTGCATTAAGCCATGGTCATGCCACTGCTTTCCAGTCTGGGCAACAGAGTGAGACACTGTCAAAAAAAAAAAAAAAAGGAATTTTGTTTTTTTTTTTAAGTGAATTGTTTCTTGTTTTGGAAGGTGTTCCGATAAATAAAAAGTTAAAAGATTTGCCAACAAATACGAGAACAAATATACCATTTGGAGGGGATCAACCACCATACATATCCAACGCCCAAGGAAACAACAACTAATTTTGCCACCAACTTACAAAGATCAATGAATACAGAATTCAGAGAGAAAGTGTGATATTATTTTCTCAAAGGCATAATGAAAAATTTCCAAACTCCAACATCTTGGCAGACAATGGCTCAGACAATGGCTGAACTGAATACTCAAAACCCCAGGAACAATGGGCCACAGATGCAGAAAGGGCCCTGGGTGGTCAGGCTTGTGGCGGGGTGACAGCTTGCCAACCAGCAAGGGCCCCTCTGAAGAGTTCTGCAGTTGTGTTCCTTCTTCCTCAGGATTTAGGTCACAGGAGATTGTCCTGCTTTAAACCACCAAGCTTCAAACCACTTCCAAAGTTGTCAATGCCTGGAGGAACTCCAGTCTTTGTCTGTGGTAGAGCAGACAAAGCTGACAGGAAGTTGGAAAGCATATTTTATTACATATGTATTTGTTTTTTGACAGGATGGAAGGCAAAGGTTGTTGATGTTATGAATGTCTGTTTCACAGAACTAAATGTGAACAGTTTTATTAAGGAGATGGCTCATCCCAGGGTAAAGACAGCAACAGATGATATAGAGAAGATTACACCAAGCAAACCTGCTGTAAACTGCATTTACCTTTAGAAGATGATAAACTAAAAATGAAGGGAAGGGATAATGAATGAATGTTAAGAGCTAAAAACTATAAAACGCTTAGAAGAAAATATAGCAGTAAATCAACACAATCTCGGATTAGGCAACAGTTTCTCAGATACCTCATCAAAAGCACAAGTGACAAAATAAAAAAATAGATAAATTGGACTTCATCAAAGTAAAACTTTTGCATTCCAAAGAATACCATCAAGAAAGTAAAAAGACAACCCACAAAATGGGAGAAAATATTTGCAAATCATGTATCTTAAGAGAATTGTAGGCCGGGCGCGGTGGCTCAAGCCTGTAGTCCCAGCACTTTGGGAGGCCGAGACGGGCGGATCACAAGGTCGGGAGATCGAGACCATCCTGGCTAACACGGTGAAACCCCGTCCTAAAAAAAAAATACAAAAAACTAGCCGGGCGCAGTGGCGGGCGCCTGTAGTCCCAGCTACTCGGGAGGCTGAGGCGGGAGAATGGCGTGAACCCGGGAGGCGGAGCTTGCAGTGAGCTGAGATCCGGCCACTGCACTCCAGCCTGGGCGGCAGAGCGAGACTCCGTCTCAAAAAAAAAAAAAAAAAAAAAAAAAAATTTTAGCCAGAATATAAAAACTCTCACAACTCAACAATAAAAAAACAAATAACTCAATTTTGAAAGTGGACAAAGGGATAGACCTACAAATGCTCAATAAACACACGAAAAGACACTCAGTATCATTAGCCATCAGGGAAATGCCAATCAAAACCACAATAGATGCCACTTTATGCCCACTAGAATGGCTGTAATAAGAAAGATAGATAATAATAAATTTTGTCAAAGATTTGGAGAAACCAAACCCTTACACATTGCTGATGAGAACATAAAATGGTACAGACTTTTTGGAAAACAATCTGGCAGTTCTTCAAAGAGTTAAAACAAAAAGTTACCTTGTGACCCAGTAATCCCATTCCAGGAGAGTTAAAAACATATGTTCCAACAAAAGCTTGTACATCAATGTTTATAGAAACATTATTCATTATGGCCAAAAAAGTGGAAACAACCCAAATAAATGTTCATCAGCTGATGAGTGGGTAAATAAACATGGTATGAACTTATGTTTTATTTATTCATTAAACCATAAAAAGCAATTAAGTACTGATACAGGCTACAACACAGACAAATCTTGAAAACATTATGCCAGCCTGGGCAACATGGTGAAACTCCATCTCTGTCAAAAAATATGAAAGTTAGCTGGGTGTGGTGGTGTGTGCCTGTAGTCCCAGTTACTCAGGAGCCTGAGGTGGATGGGAGGATCGCTTGGGGCTGAGAGGCGGAGGTTGCAGTGAGCCAAGATCGCACCACTGCACTCCAGCCTGGGCGACAGAGTGAGACCCTGTCTCAAAAAGAAAAAGAAAAAAAAAAGAAAAAGCAGAGAAAACAGTATGCTAGCTGGGTGCAGTGGCTCATGCCTGCAATCCCAGAGCTTTGGGAGGTTGAGATGGGAGAATCAGTTAAGCACAGGAGTTTGAGGCTTCAGTGAACTCATCACACCGCTGCACTCCAGCCTAGATGACAGAGACTCTGTCTCAAAAAAAAAAAAAAGAAAGAAAGAAAAAGAAGGAAAGGAAGGAAGGAAGGAAAGAAGGAAGGAAAGAAGAAGGAAGGAAGGAAGAAAGAAAGGAAGAAAGAAAACTTTATGCTAAGTGTCTAAGTGAAAGAACCCAGGCTGGAAGTGGTGGCTCATGCCTGTAATTCTAGCATTTGGGAGGCTAAGGTGGGTGGATCGTTTAAGCCCCAGAGTTCAAGACCAGCCTGGACAACATGGTGAGATCCCATCTCTATTAAAAATTTAAAATCTGACTGAGTGTGGTGATGTGTGCCTGTAGTGCCAACTACTCAGGAGGCTGAGGTGGGAGCATCGCTTGAGCCTGGGAGGTTGAGGCTGCAGTGAGTTGTGTTTGTACCACTGTACTCCAGCCTAGGCAGCCTGGGTGACAGAGTGAGAGACCTTGTCTCAAAAAGAAAGAAAGAAACCATACATAAAAGGCCACATATTGTATGATTCTATTCATATAAAATAACTAGAATAGGCAAATCCGCAAAGATGGAAAGTAGATTAGTGGTAGCTAAGGCCAAAGGGGAAGTAGGAATGGAGAGTGACTGCTAATGGATATAGGGTTTCTCCTGGGGGGTGATGAAAATGCTCTGGAGTTAGGAAATGCTGATGGTTGCACAGCCCTGTGCATACACTAAAGCTACTATATTGCACACTTTAAAAAGGGAGATTTTATGGATGTGTGAACCATATCTCAATAAAGTTGTCAAAATAAATACATAAACTAGGAGGACTTCAATAAATAAAAATATAAAGGGAAGTCACAGACTGTCTGATCCCATCTCTCAGCTGAGCAGGAGCCCGGAGTGCTGAGTAGTGACTTGGGTGGGGTGACCAGGCCTGGCTCACCAGCTGCCAAGGGAGGAGTGAGGACAGTCAGGAGATGGCACCCACGGGCAGAAATGGAACCGACACCCATTGTCACTGCTCACTGGGAAAACTCCTGTTAGGTGGCAACCCAGGGAAACTGAGGCAACTGGAATTGAGCAAGAGGGATGGGCAGGAAGGTGGGAGCCAAGGTATTTCCCGAATTAAAGAGCACAGCCAATTCTATAGGTTGCCTGGAACAAGGTGTGAGCAGAGAGCTATTAAGGGCACTAAGCAGAAATTGTGTGGTGTTTAAGGAGACTGACTTGTGTAAGTAGTCATCGACTATCTTCAAAGTGATTCGTGACATGACATTCATTTTATTCAGTAAGCTTGCGTGCCTACTGTGGTGCTAGACTGAGGCAATAAAAAGGAAAGTAAGGCCAGGCGTGGTGGCTCATGCCTGTAATCCCAGCAATATGGGAAGCCAAGGAGGGTGGATTACTTGAGGTCAGGAGTTCGAGACTAACCTGGCCAACATGGTGAAACCCCATCTCTACTAAAAATGTAAAAATTAGCCAGGCGTGGTAGCGTGTGCTTGTGGTCCCAGCCAACCCAGAGGTTGAGGCAGGAGAATTGCTTGAACCCGGGAGATGGAGGTTGCAGTGAGCCGAGAACCTGCCACTGCACTCCAGACTGGGTGACAGAACGAGACTCCATCTCAAAAAGAAAAAAAAAAGGGAAAGTAAGGGCCAAGACTCGCAGCCTGATGAAAATGACAGATGGTAAGTTACTCTACAGTATGACAGGTGCTATGGTGAAAATAGGTTCCAGAGTACAGATAAGGGTCATCAGATTCAGGTGGAACGCAGTGACAAAGCAGGTAACAATTTGATTCTCTTTGTCAATTGAGATGCTGAATTCAACTCAGTTTTAACTGGAGTGTGTTCCTCCAAATGTCTCTGTTATGAATTAAGTTATGATCCCCTCAAAAAGATATGTTGGACCGGGCGCAGTGGCTCACGCCACCGCAGGCAAGGCCGGCAGAAAACCTGAGGTCAGGAGTTTGAGCCCCGCGTGACCAATGTGGCGAAATGCCATCTCTACCTTTTTTTTTTTTTGAGACAAAGTCTTGCTCTGTCACCCAGGCTGGAGTGCAATCGCATGATCTCGGCTCACTGCAACCTCTGCCTTCTGGATTCAAGTGACTCTTCTGCCTCGGTCTCCTGAGTAGCTGAAATTACAGGCACCCACCATCACACTCAGATAATTTTTTGTGTATATATATATATACACACACACATATATATATATTTTTTTGAGATGGAGTCTCGCTCTGTTGCCCAGGCTGGAGTGCAGCGACCCGATCTCGGCTCACTGCAAGCTCCACCTATTGGGTTCACACCATTCTCCTGCCTCAGCTTCCCGAGTAGCTGGGACTACAGGTGCCCACCACCATGCTCGGCTAATTTTTTGTATTTTTAGTAGAGTTGGGGTTTCACTGTGTTAGCCAGGATGGTCTCCATCTCCTGACCTTGTGATCCACCCGCCTCGGCCTTCCAAAGTGCTGGGATTACAGGTGTGAGCCACTGTGCCCGGCTAATTTTTGGTATCTTTAGTAGAGGCGGGGTTTCACTCTGTTGGCCAGGCTGGTCTTGAACTCCTGACCTTGTGATCTGCCTGCCTTGGCCTCCCAAAGTGCTGGGATTACAGGTGTGAGCCACCACACCCAGCCTGTCTCTACTTAAAAATACAAAAAGTAGTCGAGCATGGTGGTGCAAGCCTGTAATCCCAGCTACTTGGGAGGTTGAGGCAGGAGAGTCGCTTGAACCTGGAAGGTGGACGTTGCAGTGAGCCGAGATCACGCCACTGCACCCCAGCCTGGGCAACAGAGCAAGACTCCGTCTAAAAAAAAAAAAAAGAGATGTTGACGTTTTAACCCCTTAACCCAGTATCTCAGAGTCTGACCTTATTTGGAAATAGGTCATTGCAGATGTAATGAGTTAAGGTTAGGTCACACTGGAGTAGGATGGACCCCTAATCCAACATGAGTGGTGTCATAAGAAGATGGCCATGTGAAGACAGAGACCCACAGGGAGAACAGGACGCGGGGAGCCTTGCCGCTGCAAGCCAAGGCAAACTACCAGCAGCTAGGAAGAGGCAAGGGAGGGTTCCGTGACCTCTATCAGAGGAAATACGACCTTGCTGATACCTTGATTTTGGACCTGTAGCCTCTAGAACTGCGAGACAATGAATTTATGTTGTTTTATGCCACCCAATTTGTTGTATTTTGTTATGGCAGCCCAGGGAAACTAACACAGCCTCCCAAAGCTGAGGCTCTATCAACTTGCACACAAAAAAAGTTTGTAGTCTTTACTTGAAGGATTGTTTCCATTAACAACAACAACAACAAAATACCTTCAAATCTCCTGGGATTCCAAAGCTGTTCCCAAGAGTGCTGGTTTCCTGATGGAGTCTGGTGCTGGCTCTAGTACATCTTACTCTGGTGAAATGGACTGAGCTTCCTTGAGAAGCACCTGGAAATGCCATTTTCAGGTCCTATGTGAGACTGAAATAATGGATAAATTGGGCTTCTTTTTTCTAGGGTTTTGGTTTTTTTTACTTTTTTTTTTTTTTTGGAGACAGAGTCTCGCTCTGTCTCCTAGGCTGGAGTGCAGTGGCACGATCTCGGCTCACTGCAATCGCTGTCTGCCAGGTTCAAGCAATTCTCCTGCTTCAGCCTCCCACGTAGCTGGGATTACAGGCGCATGCTGCCACGCTCAGCTAATTTTTTGTATTTTAGTAGAGATAGGGTTTCACCGTGTTGCTCAGGCTGGTCTTGAACTCCTGAGCTTAGGTAATCTGCCCGCCTCGGCCTCCCAAAGTGCTGGGATTACAGGCGTGAGCCACCACGCCCGGCCTGTTTTTTTTTTTTACTGTCTGTAATCCCAGCACTGTGAGAGGCCAAGGCGGGCAGATCACTTGAGGTCAAGAGTTTGAGACCATCCTGGTCAACATGGTGAAACCCCGTCTCTACTAAAAATATAAAAATTAGCCAGGCATGGTGGTGGGTGTCTGTAATCCCAGCTATTCTGGAGGCTGAGGCAGGAGAATCTCTTGAACCCGGGAGATAAGAGGTTGCAGTGAGCTGAGATCACGCCACTGCACTCCAGCGTGGGTGACAGAGGGAGACTCAGTCTCAGGGAAAAAAAAAAAAAGCTTTAGAACAGTAAGGAAAAAAAAAAAGGTATATATATATATATATATATACACACACACACACACACACACAAAACAGACATA